CAGTTTAAAATGTTGGTGGAATGTTTAAAACATTGAATTCATTTCCTCCGCGATAATTGGTGTTCCTCACCATGATATGACTCACAGCTTGGCAATGAAAAACCCAACTCACTCAATGTCAAAATCAGCTTAAACCTCACATATGTATCATGAAATGTTTTTACATCTATAGACTGGTATTATATCTACTAAATACCACTATACAGTGGCAAAAATCGTGGTATTTAAAACAAACATGTTGCTCAAAGTGAAGCCCTGTTCCATCTTCATATTCAACATAGTCTCTATTAGAAGTGTTTGCTCTGTGCTCGGTCCGACTTGGCTCTCGCACCTGTTGGGGTTTAGTCCCATAGGGATTCGAACCCACATTCCCAGAGTGATGGGAAGGTATTCAACCAAAAAAGTACTTGAATCTAAAGTACTAAGAAAGTGTTATCCCAAATATAACATTTGTTACATTTTACCATTTTCTAAATGGGTTTTTGTATTCATAGCTTTCGGCCATGGGTGCCGTGACAATTTACACTTGTCAGAGGTGTACACAAAGTACTTGATCTAGACTACCAGTAGTCGGACTTTCATTTTTGTGTAAATTAATCCTCCACCTACTATATATATTCTGTACAATGTTCCTCATTCAGTCTTGCTTGACCGAAACGATCTATACTGAAACGTCTCCTTTACAGTATTATAGAAGTTGTTGTCCGTAAATTGTATCTACTTTGTCATCCGTCAACTTCTAAGTAATGACTATAAAACAATTCAAGAAAACTGTGGAATGCCTTGTTTTCATCATGAGTCTTTACATGCTTCACAAGAGGATCCTATGGTCCCCAGTATGGTGATCTCCCTTCAGTGGCTGACGATTTCTAGCCCATTTTTACATCGTGTTGTTCATTAATGCTCACTGCTTTTTTTAATATTCTCAACTAGTTTAAAATCAAGTCTGTGATATTCTAGTTATTCTACTGTCCATCGTTGACAGCTTCTTATTTAGTCTAAATATATGTATCATAAATGTATAACTTCTCGTCACGATATGGCTGAAATACTGCCCATGTGACGTTAAATAATAAATCACTCACTCATAAGAGGATCATCAGACAAATAAATGTGTGCAAAAGTGCACAAAACAATACTATCATGAAGAGCATCCACGTTAATCAAATCACGCCCTCTCATTATGATTGGTTAATATAAGCGATTGAGAGAAGGGCGAAGGTGGTGGGATCCATTGTCTGACATGATTCTTCGTGTTTCGTCTAATCAACAACACCAAAAGAATATGACGTGAACAGCATAAATATTTGTGGCTTTAACTTTATTGAGACCGTTCAGCTTTGAACTCCAGATTTTTCTTATGTCTACATTTGTACTCTGACCGAAGTTTTTCCTTGATATGGGCATTCTGGAGTTTGTCCCTAAATCGGAATCCCTAAGAAGATATAGGCCTGACCTTCCACGACATGGTCAATAACTTCTCCCCCAAGTAAACTGACTGATCTTCCCTCTTCTACCTTGCCACGTTTCAGATGAAGAATGTTGCAATTGTCGAGACCAAACGATATCATAACAAAAGGACTCAACAATGAGTGTTGAATTCGCCATACATTTACTTCTAACCTTTAGTTTGATAGATGCTTTAACTACTCTCTGTGCATAACAGATTTATTGACAGAGGCGTACACATGTCTGACATGCATGAATGACAACTGACAAATATTTTCAAACATCAGGGGCAGTTAATTCTAATCATCATTTCCGGTTAACATATTAGGTTAGGTAAAGCATATAAGAGTGCAAATAAAACGTCCATAAAATATCAATACACAGTAACTTAAGTTTACATTCTAACAATAAGAATCTGTTTTTAGTGTGGACCTTCCATGGGCAATATGTTCAAGGTCATCCATGTAACAGAGGTGAGTAAAGGGTGTTGGGGATCTGTGTTGAGGATGTACAGGATGATAACCTTCCTCTTTGCTAAGCAAAACGCTTAAAGGATTTCGTGAAAAACAGAAAAGCAAAGGACTAAAATAATCGCCCTGAAATATTCATCTTCGAACAGAAATGGGTTCCGAAGTCACCACCTGCCTATGCGTATACATCTTAAGTTGAGTTGACTTGCAATCAATTAAAGACTTCAGTAAAACAAGTATACACTCAGAGTGGTCAATACTTTCCAATGACTTCAAAATCCATTCGTGTGGTACAAAATCATAGGCTTTTCTGTAGTCTATCCAAAATATTGAGATGTTACCGTCGAAAGTTTTAGCCTCTTCAAGGAAAATTTTCTGAACTAACTAATTGATCCTCACAACCCCAGCATCCCCTTGTGACTTCTCTCTGCTCCATGTACATAATGTCATTGGAAGCGCAGTATGATAACACAAGATCTGTAAGAAACCATGTATATAGTTTGTACTGTGTATTCAGACCAAAAAATAGGGGGAAAGTTTTTAGGGTCAGTCAAATCACCTTTCTTTGGGAGAAGTACTGTTCGACCTTTGCACAACCAAGCCGGAACATCCCCTGTATCCACAAGATAATTTAAAAAGTGAAGTAATGGTGATTAGTCCCTGACAGGCATTCGTTGTGTGGAATAGGACCGATGATAGCAGATGGTTTATGGTACCTGAACAGAATGTTCATCATAAAAACTAATTACAGACATTAATTATTCACAATACCAAGATCGAAGGTCGTTTCACACATTCAACAATGTATGCAATCATGTTATTTTTGTAGGATTAACACAAAACCCTTCCGGACGTATCCGTATGTCTGCTTAGCATCACAAGATAGATTATATACATATGTAGTAGACCAAGTCTACATATAAGCCAATCCCGCACCACAGCTCCGTAGCGCCAGTAGCATTAGGCCACGCCCCCAAATAGTTTTGGATTACGGAACATGTGATTTCCGCCCTTCACTTGGACATTTAAATACTCTCTACAAGACTGCTTCCGTCGTCTTGTGGTAGAGCGTCCGCCTGAAGGAGCGGGAGATCGGCGTCGTACCAATAGACGTTAAGAGATGGTACTTGTTGTTACCCAGCCTGATTCTCGGCATTGAGTGCCTAAAACGAGGACTGGTCGGCTCAAGAGTCAGTGCTATATACTGTGCCTGTGCGGTGTCATGTTAAACTTAAACATGGTATCTCATGGTATCTCAGTAGGCTAGCACTAGAAAATCGACATTAGTCTGGACTAGTACAAGCAGCCGCACACACACATGTATGTACGTCGCTTTTGAAGTACAATAATTTTGAACGCGACGTTAAACCCCATTTCATCTCACCTCACTCTCTACGAATTTTATGACTTTTTATCGCTCGGGAATTGACTATATGTATCTTTTAAAATTGATATTCTCAACAATATTTCTTTCACGATACTTGCACTCTAAATAATTAATTACAGGCAATCTCAAGGTGGACTTCAACTGTTTATACTCTACCAATTTCATTCATTTGGGAATTGTGAAAGGTGGCGGCAAAAGTATTATTGATTAATAGCTGGAGAAATCTATGAAGTGGAACTTCAAACATACACATGTGCACTGGTTCAAATTCTTATGAAATATTCTCGACAATAACATTAGTACAAAAGGCATAAGCTCTTTAGCATATTCGTTTATTTGGCTCTGATATATTTTATATCAATACAAATTTAGTGTGTTGGCGCCTTGTGACTGGGGCAGTTAAACCTAAAACAATTTATTAATCAAATTAAGTGAAGACAAATAACGAAGGGTAGAGTAAAATCCCATCGACATATAACTGCTTATCTTTTCCCTGTGTGTATACAACCACGTGTTTTGGAATAGAGATGTATCAAGTGCATCATATTAACCACGTACAGAGGAATCAACGAACGTCAGTTCAGGAGACGAAAACTTGATGTGAGTGAGTGAGTGAGTTGGGTTTAACGCCGCTTTTAACAGTATTCCAGTCATATCGCGGCGTGTCAGCTTAATGCGGGAAGAAAGCCCAAAGTGATGCAGGTCTCGGACATTTACCACTTCGGTGAAACCCACGAGCACGGGTATGGTGCTGACAAACCTAGAAATATAATTGGGGCGAACCGGGATTCGAACCCACAATCATAGGTTTCTGGCGTGCCCAAGGGACGCAACTCTGCACCGCGAATCGCGGCGCCTTCGACGACTGGGCCACCCGTGCCCCCCAAACTTGATGTAAATGATGTCACACATCACACTTCAAAATGGTCTCATCCTTTATCATGCGGCATATGTTTGTAATATATGCAAACATGGCTAACCTAGATATGAATATATGTTTCTTCTGTGTTTTTTCTGCATTGTTTATGTTGCCTGTGCTGTGTGATATTATGAGGGCAACGCTATCTTTCATAGCCTTATCCTTTGCAGAAGTACGAGGTTTTCCATTAACTGAAAAAAACACGTTATTACAGCTGATTGGAGGAATTTGTTATCAGCTAAAAAGAAACATCAATATCGGTTTTAAAACATTTACTGCAATAAACAAGAAAGTCAATGAACCACTATACAAATATGGAAACGTCATAGAACAAACCAGATGACGTCACTATTGAACGTGACGTCACCTATCTCTATCCTATGACGTCACCTAACAACGGCCCGTCGTCAAGCAATATGAGGGCATTATCAAGTTACAGTGGCCCGCTCATTTCTGAAAACATGCGGACGGTTAAACGATAATTCTATCTATTTTAGCTATAAATACCTCTCAAAGGACAAATGATAAATTCACTGAAATTACTGATGTGTACATTAGGGCAGGCTGACCTACAGCTATTTTAGGCGTATTGTTCTTCCTGGTTATCAATCTAGATCCTGATAGCCACGCACTTTGCCATCAAGGAAGGGGATTGTACTTACACGAGCATCCTGTTTGAATAATTCGTGTAATTTTACAGTTACATCCTTACAAGTACCAGGTTTCCCTGTGGCTATCGCCGATTCGCTCACAGTTGTTAATGTAAGTGAAACAGAGTTAGTTTTTACACTAAAACTGATCAAAACCTAGAATGCTTTCGGGGGGAATTAGCCACGGGATCAACACACCTTCAAAGACAAACAGAGAGAGGTTCTCAGGCAAAGCAGGAATCCTTTATTAAATGTTTTCATCATCATCAAGCATATAGACATAGTCAGACAATCTCCTTCATCATCAAACACAAAGACATAATCAGACAAATAATGAAGCAGTGATACAAAAACTGTTAAGATATTCTTTGTCATATAATAGACATGCGTTAATAAACAATTGCTTGTTATGTGATCTCACTTTGAGAACAATGCATTAACTTCAGAGACGTCTCAGTACCTATTCAAGTTACAGCCTAATATAACATTGCATAAGATTACGTAACACATTTATAATTAAAATACCATTTGTAAAATAATAACAAAGTGTAAAGTGTAAGCTCAACTCATTGGATATTCATTTATATTATAGCAGTAAACATTTGATATAATGCAGACCTTATAATCAATTCACATTAAATTACTCATTGATAATTACTCATAATGTTTGGTCTATATATTTAAGGTGCTCATAAATAACATCTGAACAATGTTTACAAAAGCATTCATATGAAAGATTATAACAACACCTTTCTTGAACAATGACATGTCTAATAACTTATTTTACATTAAATACGGTACATGTGACGTCATGAACTATAGCTGATTCAGGTGTACACTCCAGAGTTAAATAGTGAACACAAGATTTAATACGGTAAATAATAATGGGACCTGCATTCAATGACTGAATACACTATACTAAATTCAGATAACAGCTTTGCGCAACATGATTAAATACGGTACGTGACGTCACTGCCGAGCGCTGGTGAGTGTGCCGTTATATAACAATGAGCGGTGCCGCCTGTGCATACCGTGCTATGTGGGCCGAGCTTATACAAATCACACATGAATGAATACCGTATTTGAAACTTGAAATATATATGAATTAAAAACTGATTATTAGTGAACGTATGTTCTATTGTGAATGTTTATGAACCTTATTGGAGATTTCGCCAAAAGAGAGAAATTGCTTGTGAACTGTAGTTTAAAAATGAATATAAATACTGCTATAGGAAAGCCTGTTTCATTATAACTATTCTACAACATAAAACTACTACGTTATCTGTAGCGTCCAAATTATGCTAAAAGTATAGTATCAGAGATATTCTATACAGCGTCCATTCATCTTACCGAATGGAAATAATATGCATAAATTGGAAAACATAAATTTATCAGGCATTGCTTAATTTGCGTGCATTTATCTAGAACAAAAAGTTACGTTCAAGTATTGTAGTCTAGTGATATGCCCTCACAAAGTAGTTACCTAATGAGAAATATATTTTGGGCTACAGATAAGAATAATATACTTTGCTGTACTTGCACTGATCTGGTTTTGTATATAAAGAATATATTTGATGAATGAACATCGGATATAAGTTATATTCTTGAACCGTATTTATCAGGCATAAGAACGCAAACAAATATACATAAAGTAAATTATATCGAGTAACTGGATCATGTTAATGCATATTGACGCATTTAACGTTGTTGCATTATAAAACCACTCTACTAACGATACAGCATACAATAAGGTAAATAACACGACACACATATGAATAGTGGTCCTACCGATACATGGACAAATAATTCATACATTATTATAATGCACGCTGTTCACATTAAAACATGATAATTATGAAGCATCCACGACACCTGTGATTACTAATTACAAATGTATTTGCCTAGTAGTTTTAACCCGATAAGTAAACATGTGGGATACGAACGCTGATTGTGGAATAGTAATATTTCTACATGCGACGCACGCATATAAAGTACTGTAGTTAATTTGTGTCAGTAAAACTTGAATAATATGCAGCTTAGATTCGCACGGCATTTCTAATACATAGAGTATAAGTTCATTGTTCAAGCAAGATATTCATACAAAATTAAAGACAATTTTAAAAGACAATTTTAAGCAAAGTTCAACCTAAATGCCAAAGTAACAAGTAAAAGTGACTTACCTTCAAAGACAAACAGAGAGAGGTTCTCAGGCAAAGCAGGAATGACTAACAGTCGATTTCCCCCTATATTTATACCTGAGACCTCCTTTGTTAATCTGAAGGCAAGTCTACACGAGCGTGTCCAGTTTGAAATTTGAGACTTTGGACTAATAAAGACTGGACATGTTATACAATTTTGTATGATGGGTTTGGTCTGTTAATAGCCAAAGCCCACGGTCAGTTTGGAAAGTTGCGTAATAGAAGATTATAAATGCCGATAGAATCACTCAGCTCGTGTTTGGTTTCGCGTTTTCAATTTTCTAGTTTGGTCAGTTGACGCTAAATAGCTGATAACGGTACACTGGTAAGGGCCGAACGCGCTGACCACTACTAGTTGTTATTCAACATGTAATTAAAGTCTCGCCGGCCGACCTGATTGTGGCGGCGTAAATCTGAAGTGCCAGATGTTGTTATGCAATTTCTTATCGCTAGTATGTACCAACAGGTCTTAAATGGTTAACCGACAACTTATGAATTGAAGCCGAATTTCACAAAAAGTTGAATAAAATATAGCAATTTTAGCACTGTTACAATATCCCTGTGCGTCGTGGAGCTTTTGACCTCAAAAGCTTGAAGTAACATCAGGTAAAATAATGGTAGTTAAAGTCTAAGTGTACAAACATAAGATATGATCACATCTAAGAACATGACAACAATGATACATACTGTTCAGAATGCCCAAATCTAATATGTACATTCAATAAGTATAGAAATACATATTGCAACAACTAAAATTGAGGTAGAAGTGATGTCGGGTCCACTACCTTATAATATCCATTGTGAACTAGAAGGACATAGGCAGTGAATGGCTGTTTAAAGAGTCGCTGCAGCTTTTGGGCTGTAAAGAATGATATCTGAATGGTTGAGGGAACGGTAAGGGATGTGCTAGTAAGTTTATTTGTTACTATAAAGTCCGTCCAATCAACTGACAGAGTGGGAAAAATGTATCCCGAAACACAAAGGTTGTCTACTGTATATGGGGCCTGGATGTCCCAGTAGGCAGGGCATAGAGTCAAAGACAAAATAGGGACAGTGACACATTCAGGACCTGTAGTAAGTTCTAAAACAAGGCCATTCTGAAGTCCTGAACGGCGCTGAAAGACTAGTATAAGCAAGATGGAGGCAATTAAAAGTGTGATAAAACCAAGAAGGATTGAGACATGGTAGTCAGCAAGATCTGTGATGACAAAGTCCGTGGGTGGAGTACTAGCAGTGGCATGATCATTATAATTAAGAGCTGGTGGTTGCACTGCTTTGGTGGGGACAACGCGAGTGACTAACAAGAGTGCTGCAGATAGAGTTCGAATTTTCAAAAACATCCAAACAACCAAAATTATAGACACAGCTGATGCAATTGAGGCGCTTAAGGCTAGAATAGCATTCGTATCAAGCCAGGAACTTGGAGGAAGACTGATTTGACCATCAAGCAGTGGCTCAGCAATTGTTTGAAAGATTGTTTGATCCTTTTTAGCACTCTCTGCAACACGTCTTAAACTGAGGTGGGCTTGATTGTCGTTAGCCAAAACATTGGAAATGGCATGGGAAAATATATTAAATTTTTGAATTGTGAAATTAATTGATTTCCTAAAATTGGTATCCCCAGCTATACTGGAGAGGGCCGAGTCATCAAAGAAATGTTGTAATAAGGCTAGATTGACAGGATGGAGATGGGTGATGTGAGAGGTGGAATTTCTACAAGAACTGAAGGAGGCTGGGTAAAATATATCTTCAGTTGAGAGAGAGCAATAGCAGGGAGTTGCAATAAGACAAAATTGACACCCAGGAATCATACGGTGAGTGCCAGGACAAGTAAGGGTCAGGAATGGAACTCTGTAGACAAGAACATTTGAAGAACCAACAGAGATGAGTGTAGGCGGTTGAGGTCTGGTTACATAGCGGAAGTTACAAAGTGCCTTAACTTGTTGTTTATTGTTTTGAAAGAGTGCCAACAGACAAGAAGATTTAGTAATTGAATTAAGAGAAAGCCTAACTGGACATAGCAAATGAAATTCATCACCTGTACATGGGGTAAGCATTGAGCTATCAATATTGATATGGTGTTGGGAATCAGCAGACAACGCAAAATAAGTAGGAGTGTCTAACAATTGGGTAGAATGTGGTGAAGTGCTATTGATTGGCAAAGGTAAAGAGATAACTTTATACATTTGAAGGGGTTTAGCCAATGAAGAGAGTGGAAATTTAACTGAGATATAGATATGGGACTTAGTACGGACAAAGATAAATTTAGCATGGGAATAATAATATGTAGGGTTCGTGTGCAAAAGTTGAAAATTTGGATATTTATCAGATAAAACTGCAGACAGGTGATGAATTGTTTGTTCTAAAATTTCTGGTGCTACCAGCAATGGTGATAACTTATTTTTAGCTAAGTCTAAGATTCCTAACTTTAGTTCTTCCAACTGGTGTTCTATAATGGAAGCATGTTGGATTTGATCAATCAATAGGCCTGTAAGAGCAGTAAATGTAGACTGGATTGTTTTGACATTGTTTTCCATAGCAATAGCTGTAAATGTAATTGCATCATGATTAGCTTTGACACCTTTAAGTGCATTCTTAAATCTAGAGTCGACAAGCTTCATAAACGAGGAGAGATGGGCAGAGTGTTGTTGGATGGTGTTTGCAAGGTTGATATCATGTCTTGTGAGAGCATTAATATGTTTGGCGAGAAGGTTAACATCACTGGTAGTAGCAGTACCAAACAATGTTTTAGAGAGAGACCCGACAAAACTAAGAATAGCGCGTTTTGATCTCGATGATGAAGGTATCTTTGATGCTGGAATTAGCTTAATAATTTGTTGTCTAGTTTCATTTAGCTGGGCAACGCATCTAGTTTTAATTACATTTAGATGCATTTGAATTTGGTGAAGTAGGACACAGGTTCTGTTACTGTGAAGACATCCACTCATGGTTGGGATGCCTGGTACATGTGGAAGCTTCACCTCGTATGTGTGAATCCAGTAATCTGTGGCAAAATTGATTTGAGATGACGGTTGAAACAAAACCCCATAGTTAAGACGTTGAACTGGACCGGAAGCGAGGACAGAAGGGGCGCTAAACGAGAGTAGCCACAGGATAATCAGACTCCATGATGAACCTTAGAGAAACGAAAGAGAACATGGGACCATTAGATGAGATGACCTGGTTGAGCCTGATGTTCTGGCCAGCAACATCTGAACAACCTAGCACTATGAGACACAGAAACGACGTAACTGTAAGAAGGGGTGGTCATTCAACATCTAAGGCAACAGTTAGAAACTTCTCAAAGATAGGTGGGAGCTGATGAAACCTTGGTGTCTTATTTAAAGTATTTTCGCCCATTTTTGCGCCTTTTACCGGACATGGTTCTAGATCTATGGAAGTGTTGGATTAGGTCCTGACTGAGATTGCGGGATGGTTCCCAAGTGGTTTTGGCGTAACCTAACCATTTGATGTGATAGTGTTTGGTGCCGTTGACAACTTTGCATTCGAGAATCTTGTCAACAGTATATGTTTGGTCATCTTGAGATGTGGTGTCTGGCTGCTGTGAGAAGCCGGTATCTGACTGAGATGTAGATGGTGTACTGCCTTGATCAGAGATATATGGCTGTGACTGGACCATCTGTGTGTCAGGATGTGTGTCAACATCATTGCTTGGAACTGGAGTTTGACATCTCGGGTTTTGGACATGATCTGGGAGTCTATTGTTGGGATGTGTGCGGGCAATGTGAGGTTTCAATCTGTTTGCATGGATGAAGGCTTTGTGTGGTTTGTTCGTTTCTGTGTTTTGAATTTTGTATGTGTGATTTGGACCTAATTCTAGGATAGTGTAGGGACCTAACCATTTCACTGCAAGTTTTGGGGACTGGCCTGGGAGAACATGTGAATTCTGCAATAATACAAGATCACCTACAGCATATGATGGTTCTTTTGCTTTGAGGTCCGTGCGTTCTTTGTTGACATCCTGAGAAATTTCCATGTTATCTTTGGCAATTGCTTTTGCTATCTTTAGATTCTCAAGAAGACATTTAAGATGACTTTCTGCAGTTTTGCCAAGAGTTGGTTTGGGAAGAAGGGCAGTGTCAATGGGGAGATGCATCTCTCTGCCAAAGATGAGGTAAAATGGTGTGTACCCTGTGGAGGCACATGGTGTGCTTCGCATTGCCATCATTACACATGGAATGAGGTCTGCCCAGTTGGACTGATCTTGAGGACAATATGCTCTAAGGGCTTGTTCAATAGTCCTGTTGCGTCTCTCACACATGCCATTTGTCTCAGGGTGATATGAGGAGGTCAGATGATGCTTAATTTCAAGTAGTTCACAAAGAGCATTGACAAGCTTTGAAGTGAACTGACGACCTCTGTCGGAAAGAAGGGTTTTTGGAGCACCAAAGCGCGTAATGACCTGATTAAAGAGAACATTAGCCACCTCAGTGGCATCCTGAGTTTTTATTGCGAAGCCTTCAGTCCACCGAGTAAAGGAATCAACTACAAGTAGAACATATTTGAAACCATCTTTAGTTTCAGGCAGGGGACCTAAGATGTCTATGTGGAGACGAGAGAATGTATCTCCAATTGGCATGGGAACCATAGGAGCATGTCTACCATGGGACTTGGACTTAATCTTCTGACACACTTCACAGGACTGAATGTAGTTTTCAATGTCTTGGTACATGCCAGGCCAGTGATATTTGGAAATGAGAGCCTGAAAAGTGGAATCTCTACCAAGATGACAGCCACCTACTTTGGAATCATGATAAGCATAAAGCAGGTCCTTACGTTTGCTAAGGGGGACAACACCTTGAGTGATTTGTGGAGGTCTGTGGGTCTTTGAACCCCTAAATTTGGGCTGATACAAATGATAGATAATGTTGTCTTTAATGACATATTCCTGGGAACGACCAACAAGACCTTTGACTTGGGCATCAGTGTAACTGGGAGGGATTTCACCATTTGAAAGGTAATCAATGATTGGTCGTAGGTCTGGAGAATTGTATTGCTGTACATCAAAGTGCTCATCATCAATGTCATAGCCTGCACACATTACAGCAGGACCAGATGCCACAGTTTCGTTAGCATAGTAGAAATCAACAGCTAATGGAACTGGAGGGTCTGAGGACAGGTCTGAATCAGATGAGGGGTCAGAGGGTAGAGGGGATGATGTGGATGTGACATGAGAGGTCAGGGGCCTTTTGCTATACACATCCTGATAAGTCTCTCTGGGGGGTGGCCTGGAGGAGAAGTTTGGGGTGGGTATAGTTTTGTTTATAGGAGGGGCAGGACATGCAACTACTTGTGCATATGTTTGTCGAGATGGTAAGGGTGGTGAAGGTATGTCATCTGTAACTGGTGCAGTTTTGGGTTCAGGGTATTTAGTTCGAGATAAGGCATCTGCATTTGTATTGGCTTTCCCAGGTTTGTGCACAATTTCGAAATCATAATCTTGGAGCATAATAGACCATCGTCCAAGACGACCAGTTTCATGTTTAACACTTTTTAGCCATGTGAGAGCTTTGTGGTCTGTGTAAACTTGGAATTTGTTCCCAGCCAAATACACTCTAAATACCTTGATCCCTTCTACAACTGCCAAACATTCTAGTTGTGTAACACCCCAATTTCTTTCTGTGGAATGAAGTGACCTGCCGCCATAACAGATGACATGCTCTTTACCATCTGAGCCTTTCTGACCTAGAATATAGCCTAGTGATGTTTGTGAAGCATCTGTTGTGAGAATAAAAGGTTTTGTAGGGTCTGGATATGCAAGGACTGGAGCAGATGTTAAAGCTTGTTTTAGTGTAGTAAAGGCTTTTTGACAATTGTCAGTCCAAGAAAACTTTACATCTTTCTTTAGAGTTTCATAGAGAGGTGATGCTATGCCTGAGAAATTTGGAACAAATTTCCTGTAATAGCTGCAAAGACCGAGAAAGTGGCGAACATCATGGACATTCTTTGGTTGGGGAATTTGCATGACTGCTTCTATTTTAGATTTGTCCACTTCAATGCCATTTTTATTGAAGATGTGCCCTAGATACTGAACTTGTTTTGCTGCAAACTTGCATTTGCTGGGTTTGAGGGTCAAGCCTGCTTGTTTGATCTTTTCGAAAACGCATTTCAAATGTGTTAAATGTTCAGAAAATGATTTAGAGAAGACGATAATATCGTCAACATATATTAGAATATATTTCCAATTCATCTCTTTTAGGGCTTCAGAAATTGTGTTTTGGAATGCCATTGGAGCGTTTTTTAAGCCAAAAGGGAGACGATTCCATTCAAAAACACCATCGGGCGTAATGAAAGCTGATTTATGTTTTGTAGCTGCATGCAGTGGAATCTGCCAAAATCCACTAGCACAATCAAGGACACTAAAGACTTTAGCATGACTTTCACCAACTGCATCAATAACATCTTCAAACCGAATTAGGGGAAAAAATATAGGTTTGGTGACAGCATTAAGACGCCTGTAATCTACAGCAAAACGATAGGTGTTGTCTTTCTTTTTTACCATTACTACAGGAGAGTGCCATTCAGAAGAACTGGGTCGAATGATTTTGGCATCTAGCATTTCTTTAATTTGGCGTGAACATTCTTTCCTAACCTCAGCACTTTGTCTGTAAAAGGGAAGCCTAACCGGTCTAGCATCACCTGTCTCTATTTTATGTTTGTGTAGATGTGTCTTACCTAACTCAGACCAGTTTTGAGCAAAGGCAGAATGTTGTGATTTGAGAAAGGTAAGGAGTTGTTGTTTTTGGTCAAATGTGAGGTCTGATTCTGAGAGATCAAATTTGAGGTCAGGAGGCGGTGTTTGTGTGCAGGGAGGGGCTTGAAAGTTGTCTTCGTGTGACCTGGGAGTATGTGTGGATGACCTAAAGTGTTCCTGAGGTGACCTATCATTTGAGTTGGATGCCCTGTTTCTGCCCTGAGAGACTGTAGACACATTGACCTGGGGTGACCTAAAGCTGCCCTGAGGTGACCTCGTGTCAGAGTTGGGTTTATCCGGGAGAATAGAGACACTTAAAGGATCAATTTCTGATGCAATGGCAAGTACGCGTTGTGTATTCAAATGAATTTTTGAGTCGCTAGGATTTAGCAACCGCATATAAACTGCCTTTTTGGAATTGGTGACCAGACATCTACCACCTTGAATGTTAGTTCTAGAGAGTTCAGGAACTGGTTCTAAAAGGAGAACTGTGCCTGGCCTACAGCGGGAAATATGGACAGGAATGTCAACTTGACAATGAGGTGGAATGACAACTGGCTTCTTACATCTAGCATAGCCTGCACTAGTTTCTATCAATGGTACTGAGACAAGGCCTTCTTGAATGATAAGACTTTTGTCTGCTAAGGAAACAAGGGCTTTGTTTGATTCAAGAAAGTCCATGCCTAAGATAAGGGAATGATGAAGTTTTTCAAAAACGTAGCAGGGCTGAGAAAAGGTGAGATGACCTATTGTGATTTCTAAGGTAATGGAGCCTAGCACTTTGTGTGTTTCACCGCCTACGCCAACTATTTCAGACAAATCCGACAAGTGCAGATTTTGATTGGTATAACCTACCCTCTGAAGGAAGCTCATGTTCACACAGGACACACTAGCTCCTGTGTCAACAAGTGCTGTTGTCTTCGCTTGCTTCACCCTGACCAGAACAGTGTTCTTTAGCAAGGGAGCAACAAGTGAGACCAATGGTTTCTTGTGCCTGACCTCAGAGGTCTGAGAATCAGGCGCGAGTCCTCATTGTCTAGGACCTCCATTCTGTGAATGATGTGCCCTCATGCAAACTTTGGAGTGGTGTCCTACTATGTTGCAATATGTACATATAGTATTAAAGTGTGGGCAAGAAAATCGGTCTGAACAGTACATACCACATCCCCGGCACCTCTGCTGCGGACTCTGGTAGTAATTGTTCTGTGGTTGCTGTTGGTAGCCATGTTGCTGGTAGGATGGACGCCTCTGGTAGAAGTTGTTCCGGGACTGCTGTTGGTAGCCTTGTTGTGGGTAGGATGGTGGCAACAAGGGCTGCTGACTTGAAAAATGGCCTCGTCTTTGTGAAAGTCGTTGTTGAGGGTGATGTTGCCCTGGTAACGACTGGAATCGTTGTTGCTGTTGTTGTTGTTGTTGATGATGGTGTTGTTGCTGATGCTTGGCTGCTGGCACAGCTGCAACTTCAACGGTTGGGGCTTCCGATTTAGTTATTAGAGTTGCAACTAAATCAGACAGTTGTTCTACTTTGGCCGCCATGTTGACATCTGATGCCTTGGACCCTGTCTGAGACTTCTCAGCCAGCACAGCATGGTGTCGGACTTCTTCCAAGGTGGTGGGTTCTTTGTTGACAACCCACTGTCTGATGCTTTGTCGAAGTCCATTGACAGCCACTGCCACAATGACTGAAGGTGGGAGGTCCTGGTTGCGGGTGGCTTTCTGGACTCTGCAGATGAAACCAGGAATTGTCTCATCTGAAGTCTGTGCCATCTGCAAAAGGCTCACGTCGAAAGCCTTTGGCTTCCCAAACCTTGATTTGAAGGCTGCTTCCAGCAGTTTGGCGTCCCTCTTTGTTTCTTCAGCCAAGTCCTGGTGCCAGACCTTGGCCGCTGCTTCTAAATAGAATGGAAATAGGCGACATTGTTTGTCAGCATTGTAATTGAATAATGCAACAAAATCTTGAAAATCCTGCCACCAGGACGTTGCCTCTTCTTGCCCAGTGAATGGCCGGAGTTTGATATGTGGAGCTGCCATTTCACTCCAATCAGCTTCAGCAGAGGAAGATGAGATTGATGGTGGTGATGATGATGATGATGAGGAGGAGGATGCTCTTGTCACAGCCACTGATGACCTTTGGCTTGGGGCTGATGGTGTTGTCAGTGACGGTGAGGATGGTAGAGGTGAAACCTGTTTAAGCAAACTGGTCAGGATCGACCTTGGCTCGGGCCTTCGAAGCTTCTCCCTGTAGTTCTGAGGTGTGGCACCGGTCATCTAGGATTTAAGCTCCACCAATTGAAACAGAGTTAGTTTTTACACTAAAACTGATCAAAACCTAGAATGCTTTCGGGGGGAATTAGCCACGGGATCAACACACCTTCAAAGACAAACAGAGAGAGGTTCTCAGGCAAAGCAGGAATCCTTTATTAAATGTTTTCATCATCATCAAGCATATAGACATAGTCAGACAATCTCCTTCATCATCAAACACAAAGACATAATCAGACAAATAATGAAGCAGTGATACAAAAACTGTTAAGATATTCTTTGTCATATAATAGACATGCGTTAATAAACAATTGCTTGTTATGTGATCTCACTTTGAGAACAATGCATTAACTTCAGAGACGTCTCAGTACCTATTCAAGTTACAGCCTAATATAACATTGCATAAGATTACGTAACACATTTATAATTAAAATACCATTTGTAAAATAATAACAAAGTG